ACCAAACCCCCTAGTTTCTCCTTTAGCGAAACCACCAGACCTCGCCACTATTCCACCACCCAAAGTCACCAGAAACAACTCCGAAACCCAGCTGCCAGCCACCCAATAACCACAAGATCGCCAAACAAACCCAAAATCGAGCTTCAGAATCAGAAAACCGCCTCCATTCCTCACATTTTCAGACGAAGAGCAACATCACCGCTCGGTATCGAGCTTTAAGCTCTATTTCAGGCGGGCGAACAATCACCAACAATAATAACTCCATAGCGCCCATCAAAGGTGGGACAAATCAGTTTCATCGGAGCTATAAACAAACACCACCGGTGAGCACCACACGCCTCCGCGACGCAAACTTCGGAGACTCAAAGAGAACTCCGCCAGTCAGGTTCCCTCTCAGTCTGATTTTGTTCTAAATATTAATTAATACTTGGATTTGTTTTGCTCTTTATTCTTAATCATTGATGACTTGTTTGTTGGTTATGCATTTGTTGAGTTGACTAGTTTTTCTTATTGTGTTGAGTAATATTTTTCTGTTAATCTCATCTGATAACTCCATGAATGAAGGTTGAGAACTATAAGCAATTACAGAGCATTTGAATGAAGAAGAAAGAAAAGAAGATTGTATTAATGTCTTGATGCAATGAAATTGTACATGTACGCCCTTTTATACCACATTATCAATGAAATGGTGCAAAATATCTCTTAACAACTTTGTAACTAACTACTGCCACCTCATCAGCTTGTAACTAACTTTTAAATCTTATTCCTAACATAACCATACAGCTTGTTAATTCTTCACTGCACTTGCTAACACTCCCCCTCAAGCTTATGGTTGAAATACATTCTTCATTCCAAGTTTGCTTAGTAGTTGACTTTGTTGTCCTTGTCCAAGACTCTTTGTAAGTAGATCAGCCAGTTGATGCTTGGTGTTAATGTATTCTATTTGCAGTACTCCTTAACAGATTCTTTCTCTCACAAAATGACTGTCTATGTCTATGTGTATTGTACGCTCATGAAAGATAGGATTGGCAGCTATTTGGATGGATGCCTTGCTATCACATACCATTTTGACTAGTAATGTTACATTGACTCCCAGCTCTTTGTATAAGCCTGTTAACCAAGTTATTTCAGCTGCACATGTAGCCATGCTCCTGAATTCTGCCTCAGGTGAGCTTCTTGACATAGTTAATTGCTTCTTAGACTTCCAAGATATTAATCCTCCTCTAAACTCCACCAGATACCCTGTAACTGACTTTCTTGTTTCAAGATATGCCCACCAGTCAGAGTCACAATAAGTTGTTAGCTGTGTAGTTTGTTCTGCTGGCATTAGTAGTCCTAGACTAGGTGCTTCTGTGATATACCTTACTGCTCTTAATATTGCTTCCATATGTTATTCCTTAAGACAATGCATGAAATGGCTAAGAACTTGTGCAGTAAAAGCAAGGTCAGGCCTAGTCATGGTTAGATAAAGGAGCTTTCCTTCCAGTTTTTGATACATTGTGGGATTAACAAATGGCTTATCATGATCAGGATTTGAACCAGTCACATGTTCATCATATTGAACTGATGTGTTTTTTTGTTCAACTTCAATGGTGTATTAGCAGGTTTTGCTCCTCCTAGGCCAATCTCAGAAATCAGCTCCAAGGCATATTTCCTCTGTGTCATCAATATACCCTTGTTTGATCTAGAAAACTCAATACCTAAGAAGAATTTTAGTTCCCTTAGGTCCTTCATTTTAAACTACTTTTGCATCTCCTGTCTTGTGTTGCATAGAAGTTGGTGATTGCTTCATATGATCAGAAGATCATCTACATGCATCAGCACCACCAGAATGTCACTCCCAATTTGTTGTGTAAATAGAGAGTAGTCATAGTGGCTTTGTTTGAACCCCATCTGGACTGGTGCCTCAGTTAACTACATATTCCACTGTCTAAGTGCTTGTTTCAAGCCATATATGACTTGTGGAGTTCTCATTCCTTGTGACTCTCCCCCTGTCTGACAAAACCACAGGGAATCTCCATGTAGACATCCTCTTGCAAGTCACCATTCAAGAAGGCATTGTGGACATCCATCTGATATATATACCACCCTTTTGATGTAGCCAAAACTACCACAGATCTGACAGTCACCATTTTGGCTACAGGACTAAAAGTCTCACCACAATCAATCCCCTCTTGTTGACTGAAACCTCGAGCCACAAGCCTGGTTTTGTACCTTTCAACCTCCCCTGAAGCTAATAACTTAATCTTATATATCCATTTATATCCAATAGGTCTCTTTCCATATGGTAGATCAACTATCCTACAAGCCTTATTAATCTCCAGGGCATCAATCTCTAATTGCATAGCCTGTCTCCACTTAGGATCAGTAGCAACTTCATTAAAAGAACCAGGTTCAGAGACAGCTGAGTAAGCATTCAAAACCTTTCTATATGTGGATGATAATTGTTTGTAGGACAGATGATCTGCTAGTGAATAAGAACAAGCAGAAGACTTAGGCTTAATAACAAAATCCTGCAACCATAGAAGAGGTTTGCTGGATCTAGTTGACCTTCTAGGAGGTACCTCAGTAGCAGGAGGTATCTCAACAATAGGCCTAGGTGGGATAGGACTACCATTGTCATCTACCCCATGTGGATCCTCACTGGAATCAGGTAGAGGTGAGGCAACAGGTTCTGGGGAAATAGGAACATAGTCCATAATTGGAAACATAACATTTGGTGAGGCTTGGAGATGTTTGTAGGGAAATAACCCTTTGTGAAACACAACATGTCTGATCTTACGCATATTTATATGCCTAGAATGCTAATTATGCCTGCATTTACGCTTAGTTTGAATTCAAAATGTATTTGTTTGTAGTCTTATCGAGTCATTTGCTTATTTATCAACTAACCAACATGATTAGTTGTGTAGGTATGCTTAATGGGAGAAACGAGCACAAAAAGGGGTAAAGGAACAAATTTGAAGATTATAGTCAAAAGAGAACAAGAAAGAAGCTGAGGAAAATACACCAAGGCATTTACGTGTTCTCTTCGGTCGCGCGGAGGTTGCAAAACTCAACTTCTAGGAAGAACACCTCATGCTGCTCGTGTGTCACGCAGAAGGCAAAAGTATCGTAGACTCAAAATTTAAGAGTCATCGCGCGTCGCGCGCCTGAGTACCATATTTGGCCATTTCGACTTTTAGTATAAATAGGGTTTTATTTTATTTTATTAAGGAGCTTTTTCTGGGTTTTAAAGGATGACGATTTGAAAGAACGTTTCTCTTCACTTTTAGGGTTATTTATTAAACTATTTTCCTTTCAATCGTTTGATGATTCATAAGCTTGTATGATTGAATGTTGGACTATGAGTTGCTAAATACCCTAGTTCTAGGGTTGTGGCTACAGAATGATTGCAATTGATTGAGTTATGTTGGGTTTATTATTGGTCATCACATGAATCTTTCTTGTGTTTTTATTTTCCGTATTTCATGATTGATCACCATAGAAATAAATATATTATCAAAATTGAACTCGGGAGAGGAATAAGAGGATAGAACGTGAGGCATAAGGAGCTTGTTGAACTCTAAATAGCTAGGGTTGATTCGTCTCTAAGATAAGGATAAACCTAGAGACCTCGCTTGGATCACCACACATGAAGATAACTTAATGCTCAATAGGTAATCAGTCTATCCCCGCCCAACGATGGGTGTTATCTATCGTAGGCAATTAGAGGTCGGGAGACCATGATCATACATCCTAACCCTGTGATTCATTGATTCGACAGTTAATAATTACCCATATAAATGATATTGATTACATGAATCCTGATAGAAGCTGCAACCCTGGATCATTCCCAAATCATTGTTTGAAACCCGTGAAACTAAATCTTGTATTTACATTTTGTTTTAAAATTTAGAAATATAAATAAACAGCCCTTTAAATCTGGAAATACATTTGTGGTTAATAGAGAACTAGAGAAATTGATAGTTTCTAAGCGTGACTCCATGTGGGTACGATACCCGACTCTCGAAAAGAGCCACTTTATTACTTGTACGATCACATGAACTTACGTGTGCGATAGACCGCAACAAGTTTTTGGCGCTGCTACCAGGGACTTTAGAATTAGAAAGTATTTGAATTTTTCTTATTTCTGAAGTTGAAACGTAAGTGTTGACATCTTAATCTTAGCATTCCATTGTTGCAGGTTGTTTTGAAACTCCAAACTGGACGACGATCAAGAATTGTTATCGCCTCTCTCAGAACTTGAAAGATTCGTACACTTGCATAGAAGGCGGAGACGATGAGCATATCCGATTCCCTTAGTTATAGGTGAGCTAGATTTTCCGGGACCAAAAATAGAAGAAAAAGAAGAGGAAGAACTTCAGACAATGGCTGCTGAGTTGAAAGTACGAAAGTGAATCTGGTGGGAGATGCCAGCTGAAGTAGAGTATGGTGCAAATTTTGCACACGAATGGGCAGTTTACTGGTCTTTCACATGAGGATCCCACAGTTCACATTCAGAACTTCCTCGAGATTAGTGATACTTACACTCCAACTGGGGTGAATAAAAATTACGTGAGGCTCAGCTTATTCCTTTTCTCTTTGCTTGGGGAAGCAAAAAAATGGTTGAACTTAGAGCCTGCAAATTCAATTACCACCTAGGACGATTTGGCACAGAAATTCTTCATCAGATTCTTTCCATTTGGAAAAATAGCTAAGCTGAGGAGTGATATTCTGAGTTTTAGGCAGAAAGGTGGTGAAAACTTGTACCAAGCTTGGGACAGGTTTAAATCGATGTTGATGAGCTACCCTCATCATCAACAATCTAATGAGGTGTTAGTCAATACTTTCATTGAAGGGTTGGAGCCTAACACCAAGATTTTACTTGATTTAGCTGAGGTGGACAAGCTTTAGAAAAGACTTATGCAGAACTATTCACCTTGTTGAACCGGATCTCTCAGGGTAATTCGTAGTGGAACGAAAGGGGAATAAAACCTATAGTACAGAAAACTGCAGGTATGCTGGAAGTAGATGTGATAATAGCTCTAACTGCACAGATTTCTGCTATGCAGAATATGATGAGTACACATTTCAGCAACATGGCATTGGGACAACAGCCTGCGCAGGTAAATGCAATTCAACAACCACCGTCTTGGTGTAAGATTTGCGGAGGTAGCAATCACGATGCAGAGGTATGTGGTGCAAACCCAGATTCTGTTAATTTTGTAAGGAATGCCTAGAGAGGAGGAGGCCAACAAAACTATGAAAATTCTTATAACCCAAATTGGCGTAACCACCCAAACTTTTCTTGGGGTGGAAATCAGAACCAGGGCAAAGGGCAAAACCATTATAAACCACAAGGCAATGCCAATGGTTATCAACCACAGGCACAAAGGGAGCAACCCAAGTAGCAAATCAAAAACATGAGTGTGGAGGAGATGCTGAAAAAGATTATGTTTGATCTAGCCTAGTTAGCTAGTGATGTGAGGAATAATCAGTTAGCCACACATAATCTGGAGAAGCAATTTGGGCAGTTTGCTAGTGCCCAAAATTCACGACCGCAAAGAGATTTGCCTGGAAACACTGACCCAAATCCTAAGCAGGTGAATGCAGTAAGCACACGCAGTGGTTTGCAATTGCAGGAGTTAACTCCTAAGGAAAGAAACACTGAAGTTATAAACACAAAGAGTGAACCCAAAGAGGGTGAGCTTAAGGAGAATGAAGTAGTTGCACCGGAAGAAAGCGTGCAACCAATAGTGAGACCACCCCTTCCATTTCCTCAGAAGTTCAAGAAACAAAAGGAGGACGAATGTTTTGGTAAGTTTCTCTCTCTCCTAAGACAAGTTCACATTAACTTGCCATTGGTGGATGTTTTGTAGGGTATACCCAGGTATGCTTAGTATGTGAAAGAGATCATAGCAAACAAAAGGAGGCTGACAGAGTATGAGAGTGTGGCACTTACTGAAGAGTGCAGCTCTAGAATTCAGAACAAGCTGCCCATTAAACTAAAAGATCCGGGTAGCTTTACTGTGCAGATTACTATAGGGCAAAGCATCCATGCTCTAGGATTGTGTGATCTAAGAGCGAGTATAAACTTGATGCCAACTTCTCTGTACAAAAAATTGGGGTTGGGTAGTCCTAAACCAACTACCATAATTTTGCAGTTGGCGGATAGATCTGTAGCTAGACATGAGGGTGTTGTGGAAGATGTGTTAGTACAAGTGGTATCTCTGATTTTCCCAGTAGACTTTGTAGTATTGAATTTCGAGTCTGATCCTGAGATCCCTTTCATCTTAGGACAACCTTTCTTAGCGACTGGTAGAGCAATGATAGATGTAACAGTTGGGCAGCTTACTATGAGAGCTCATGATAAAGTGGAGGTGTTTGATGTATACAAAGCCTTAAAATTTCCTGTTGTGTATGAGGAGTTGTCTGCCATAACCGTGATAGATCTTGAGGCAGAAGCTAAATATATTGCAGCTAAGGATCCTCTAGAGCGAGTGTTAGTGGGTGATGACATATATGTGGATGTTGAGGCAAATGAAATGGTGCAATTCCTTGATGTGTCTCCTATGGTTACTGCTGGAGAGAGCTGGGAGCCTCTGAATAGGGTGTTGGGTCTTCCACCTAAACCCTTCATTGAAGAAGCACCCAAATTGGAGTTAAAAACACTGCCAGCCCACCTCAGGTATGTATTTTTGGGTAAAGATGAAACTTTACCGGTTATTTTGTCTGCAGATTTATCTGACGAATAGGCGAAAGCCGCACTACTCATTTTGAAGAAGAGAAAAGCAGCTCTGGATGGCAAAAGTCTAATATCCATGGTATTAGTCATGCACTGTGTATGCACAAAATATATATGGAAGAAGGGTACAAGGCAAGTGACAGCATCAGCGGAGACTAAATCCATTGATGAAGGATGTTGTCAGAAAAGAAGTCATCAAGTGGATGGATATGGGGATTGTGTACCCAATATCTGACAGTAAATGGCTAAGTCCAGTGCAGTGTGTGCCTAAGAAGGGAGTAATGACAGTTGTAACCAATGAGAAAAATGAGTTGATCCCCATAAGAACAGTAACTGGGTGGAGGATATACATGGACTACAGAAAACTCAATGAAGCCACCAAGAAGGACCACTATTTGGTATCGTTTATTGATCAAATGTTAGACAGGTTGGCTGGCCAAGAGTATTACTGTTTCCTTGATGGTTATTCAGGGTATAATCAGATCGTCATTGCACCTGCGGATCAAAAGAAGACGACATTCACTTGCCCATATGGCATGTATGCGTTCAAACGCATGCCATTTGGCTTGTGCAATTCCCCAGCCATATTTCAGAGATGTATGATGGCAATCTTCCATGATATGGTGGAAGATTTGGCTGAAGTGTTCATGGACGATTTCTCGATGTTCGGTGAGTCGTTTGAACTTTGTTTATCTAATCTTGATAGAGTTCTTGCTAGATGTGTGGAGACCAATCTGGTGCTGAACTTGGAGAAGTGTCACTTTCTGGTCAAAGAAGGAATTGTGTTGGGGCACAAGATCTCTAAGAGTGGGCCAGAAGTAGACAAAGCGAAGGTGGAAGTGATTGAGAAGTTGCCACCACCAATATCAGTGAAGGGAGTGCGAAGCTTTCTTGGACATGCTGGTTTTTACAGGAGGTTCATCAAGGACTTCTCTAAAACTGCAAGACCTATGTGCAACTTATTAGAGAAAGAGATGAAACTTGTGTTTGATGAAAAATGTTTGCAGACTTTTGAGATGTTGAAAAAGAAGTTGATTGAGGCTCATATTCTTATTACTCCAAATTGGGAGCTTCCTTTCGAGCTGATGTGTGATGCTAGTGATATAGCAGTTAGGGCAGTGCTTAGGCAGAGAAAAGACAAGGTGTTTCACTCCATCTACTATGCGAGCAAAATACTTGAGGCAGCTCAATCGAATTATACAGTTACTGAGAAGGAGATGTTGGCATTGGCGTTTGCATTCGACAAGTTCAGGTCATACTTGGTGGGAACCAAAGTGATAGTCTACACTGATCATGAGGCCATTCGGTATTTGTTCAACAAGAAGGATTCCACACCTAGGTTGATTAGGTGGATCCTGCCGCTGCAAGAGTTTGACCTAGAAATATGAGATAGAAAGGGAACTAAGAACCAAATAGCTGATCATCTGTCCCGCCTAGAGGATTCGTCTCATGTGAAAATTGAAAGGCAGATTCGTGAAGAGTTTCCTGATGAGCAGTTGCTTGCTTTGGACATTGCTCAGGTGCGTTGGTATGCAGATATTGTGAATTTTCTGGTGAGTGGTTTATTTCCACCTGGGCATCAACATATCAAAAGCAGAGGTTAAAGTATGATGCCCGTTTTTATATATGGGATGAGCCCTATTTGTTCAAGCAGGGTCCGAATTAGATGATTAGAAGGTGTATAGTTGAGCAAAGGCGACACAAGTGTTGGAGAGTTGCCACGCGTCGCCATATGGTGGACATCATGAAGGCGAAAGAACTGCGCATAAGGTATTGCAATCTGATTTCTTTTGCCCTACTCTGTTTAAAAATGTTGCTTTGTTTGTGAAAGGTTACGATCAGTGTCAAAGGATGGGCACCATTTTGAAAAGGCATGAGATGCCATTGAACAACATACTAGAGGTGGAGATCTTTGATGTGTGGGGAATAGACTTTATAGGACCATTCCCATAGTCCCGGGGTAATTAATACATTCTAGTCGTTGTGCACTACGTGTCTAAGTGGGTGGAGGTTGTTGCATTGCTAACAAATGATGCCAAAGTGGTTGTCAAGTTCATTCGAAAGCACATCTTCACCAGGTTTGGAACGCCAAGGGCGATAATTAGTGATGGAGGTAAGCATTTTATCAATAACTTAGTTCATAGTCTGTTAGCGAAATATGGGGTGCAACACAAAGTGGCTACAACATATCATCCCCAAACTAGCGTACAGGTAGAGGTATCAAACAGGGACGTCAAATAGATCCTCCAAAAGACTGTGAATACCCAAAGAAGAGATTGGGCTAACAAGTTAGATGATGCCTTATGGGCATATCGGACTGCTTACAAGACACCAATAGGGACTTCTCCTTATTGAATGGTGTTTGGGAAAGCTTGTCACTTACCAGCTAAGTTAGAGCATAGGGTATATTGGGAGATTAAGAAACTGAATCCAGATGCTGAGTTAGCAGGCAGAAAGAGGATCACACAGCTGCACGAGCTAAAAGAGTTTAGGCTTCACACCTATGAAAATGCAAAGCTGTATAAAGAGAAGACCAAAAGGTGGCATGACAAGCATATTGTGTCACGCACCTTTGAACCTGGTCAGTTAGTGTTACTTTTCAATTCTATATTGAGGTTTTTCCCAAGGAAGCTTCGGTCTAAGTGGAGTGGTCTGTTTGAGGTGGTGAGGATGACTCAACATGGTGTTGTAGAACTACGAAACAAGGACAAGAGCTCTACGTTACTTGTAAATGGTCAACAGGTCAAGCACTACTTTGGTAAGGATGTAGATCGTGAGCTTGAAGCACCCATATTGAATGACGAATGAGTCATGAGATGGGTCGTGCCGCGACGTTAAATCAGATGCTACACGGGAGGCAACCTGTGAACCATTGTAATAGTTAGGATTTATTTGTTCTTATTTGGTTATTTCAGTTCTAAGGAATTAGTAGAAAAAAAGGATATATCAAGAAAAATACAAAAATATGCGTCGTGCCACGACCAAAACTAAGGCGCTGGATGGGAGGCAACCCATCATGTTATTTTTAATGGGTGTTGAACTGATAATATGCAGGATGAGAAAATTTTGCCCAAGGCAACTCCGTGTAGGGAGTGCGTCACGGAGGCGGGGAATAATTTTGCCTCGCCTGATACCATTTGAGGCAGAGGACTCCATGTATGTGGCACGTCGCGGAGGAGGTCTAGAATTTCAAGTTCGACGGTAAGTTACTTTTACGTCAAAAATAAGACATTACCGTGCTATCCCCGCGACGCGGAGCAAGGGTCAAATATTGGCCTCGCCTGGAATTAAATTTTCAGTGGACTCCATGCCAGCCGCTTGTCGTGCCCTAGGTGAGTAAATTTCGTTTTCATTAACTAACCAGGTTTTACCCGATTTCGTTGGACATTACCCGACCCCAAGCCTTTTTAAACCCCAATTTCTCCCCCTAAATTCCCCATATTTTCCCTTTTTCACTACATTCACCACGATTTTCACCCCTTCCCTTTACCTCTGCGAATTTCTTCAAGGAGTCCCGTGTCGCGCAACTATGCCCTTCTTGCTCTTCTTCATTTTTTCGAAACTCCGCGTCGCTAGGTATGTGCTCTTATTTTGTTGTTGCAATTCTGGGACAGTTTGAGATGTCTTCCATGGGTTGTTGGTTGGTCGATTTTCAGGGAGTTGGGAAGGGTGTTTTATTTTGTCATTATCGTGTGTTTCGTGTTGGGCTATGTGTGTTTCAAAGTCTGAGTAGAAATACAGTGTTGCCTGATTCTTGGGTTAAACTACTAGGGTATAGTATGTGGGAATGTTTGACAAATTGTTTTTAGGTGTACTCAATTCCCTACGTGTAATGTGCCTTGGTTAATCATAGGTTTCTGCGTTGGGCGATACTGTGGTTATAGGTGATTTTTACTTCTTGAGTAAAAATCACTTAATGTTCACTGTTGTTGATCTTGCATGAGGTAAAGATTTGTGGGTTATGCTTGCTCGTAATCAATTGTGTCTGAATAGTTAATGATTGATGTAGTGTTTGCAGTGAATTGAGTTAGCTTGCTTGAATTGAGAGGTAGTATGGGGGTTTGACTACCTCGACTATTGAAGGTCTAGTATCTTGAGTAGATACTATTTTGGCAAACACAGAGTGAAGGATTACTGTTGCTAGGAAATGTTTGTTGGGTGGTAGTGTGTACTCAGGGGTCTATATTACTTGTGTGAAGTCTTCAGTAACATTTTCCAATTGTTTTGTGATTGTCTCTGATATTGCGATGCCTCACCAATTTTACGAGCTTGGTAATTACTTGAGTATGTTGCTGGTAAATTGTGGGAAGTCTGAGTACCTAAGATGAGACTACACTGAACTAAGTGTGGGGTGGTGTGCGCACACCACCCATATTATTATCATTGTTTTGCAGTCATGGGGGCTGAACTTTCGTATATTTTACTGGTTACCATGTCTAGCTCACACAGACCTGGCAAGAAAGTGGCCACATCAAGCAATAGGAAACGTGTTCGGAGTGGGAATGTCCCACCCGCACCCGCACTTCCAAGGGGTCAAACTAGGTGAGTAAGGGTGAAGGATGTCACCAAAGAAGGAAAGGCTTGGTATAAGAAGCACACCGAGGCCAATTATTTTTTTGATATCTGTGTTGATGGGGACAGTCTGACACATGAGTTCCCCCAGTTTCGGAGGCAAATTAGAGAGCTCTGCATGGAGTTCATCTTTGCTGACCCAGACGAATGTAACTTGCATATGGTCCGGAAGTTTTACGCCAACTAGACACCCGAGGCGCAATCCCACTATGTGACGGTGCATGGTAAAAATGTGCCCATCACTCCCACATGTATTAATGATATATTGGGTACACCGGAAGACACCGACCTAGTAGTGTTGACAAGGCTGAACATACACCCTCCATACCAGGCCGTCCGCCATATGCTATGCGGGCCACAGTCCATAGCACAATGGACTAAGCACAGTGAGAAAAGATATCATAAATCTCTCCCCTACGCCCGCATGCTGTGGGAGACACGTGTTTGGCTAAAGGTGGTGATGAACTATCTGATCCCGGGGTTACATTACACTGATATCACGTGTGATCGGGTGTGCCTAGTTTATGCTTTGATGACTGGCATGAAGCTGAACATCGGAGCCATCATAAAATCTTCAATGAGGAAAGCCCGGGTTCACAAAGAGCATAGGTATGCATTTTGTAGTCTGATTACCAAAATGTGTCGTGTTGCAGGTGTCCCTGAAGAGAATTTAGATTACATGGCACCACTTTATCCAGCATCGGTGGACATCACTCGCACAAAGGGGCCGGACACTAACTTCGGCCCAATACTCACCACCGCAGAGCGCCACATGAGAGATAATTTAATCATGTTTAGGATGTATGGCCTGGAGATGCTATGACACAAAACTGGTGGCCGGCCATCTACTGATCTGGAAATAGAGGAGGTCAACAGGCGTTATCTTCTGAATTATCAAGCTAAAGCATTACTTGGCATAAGTCCTGAGTTCCGGGAGCTGACTGAGAATGATATCCTGACTGATGAAGAGAACTTGCGTACCGGCTCAGATGTGGATTCTGATTCGGATGAGGAGATAGACCCCATACAGGCCGAGGCTGAGGCCAATGGGGGTGATATAACGGAGGACTGATCAGGGAGTTTCTTTTTCACTTTACCTTTTCGAACTTTATTGAGATTTTGACATACACTGGGGACAGTGCAATTGTATAAATGTGGGGTGAAGGTAGAAAACATATCTGATTAGTACATATATTGGGTTGAACATTGTTTTCTGTTTTGTTTGATTTTGGGTTCCTTGGTAGTTATTTTCGGTTCTTTAGCCAAGGATAGTCCCTTTGAACCGTACAAAAATACAAAAAGATTTTGTTTCTAGGATTGAATCAGTAGTCATAGATTGAGTCAAGATGACCAATGATAGATGGATGACGGTCGTCTTAAGGGCAATTTCGTCATTGAGTCTTAGGCTTGGTTGTGCTGAAGCTGAAAATCTCTGATGTATGAAAAACATGGTTGAAATTGATGTATGAATGCAGTGAATTCCTGTATATGATTTGAATGTGCAACTTAAGCTTAATTTGAACCTTTTGCGTGAAATGATTGTGTTGTGATTAATCCATTCTGAGTACAACTTGTGCCATGAGCGGTGAGTTTTGTATGATATCCATGATTGCATCTGAGTCTAAAACTTGCCCAGGTTGTTATTGAAGCGAAATACAAGTGGTATTATGTTTGAAAGGTGATAACAGGCTTTGTTTGAATTGTTTGAAATTTGAGCTTGTTCAGAAAGAAGATCCTTAGTCTAGCCCAATTGAGCCTTTTAGCCTTGATTTTGTTCTAACCCACATAATAAACCGAATCCCTTTTTATTGATACCGTAGTTTTGATCCTAACCCCTAATGCACTATGTTAGGAAGAAAGGTAAAAACAACGGAAAGAGTAGATAGGGTGGAAATGCGTAGTTGTTAGGAAGAATGAAAGAAAGGTAACTGATACCCCATGATTGTGAATCTGAGATTGGCCCTGGTCCTAAAAAGGACAATGTGCACCTTAACTCAAGAGAAATCTCCGAGTAAAGGGTGGCTAGTGTTGAATAAAAAAAATAAAAATAATTGAGGAAATAAAGGGGCAAGTAAGCAATAAGGCAAGGTTAGTAACACTAGTTAAATCTTATGAAGAAGAAGGGGCTAATGAAAAGAAAAAGTTGTGAATGAAAGAAGAGAGCTGAACATAGTGCATTAGGGAGGACGAGTCACTAATCTCATCTAAATGAATCCTCTCCCACCTTAAGCCTGCAACACAACGAAACCAAGTCATGTTTGATTTTGAGCATTTTACACTTTATTAGTAGAGATGTACATAATGGGCAAGCTTATGGTTCTCAGTGCATACATGTGTGATTTTGTTTGCTGAGTGAGAGTGTATATTGTCTGCAAAGTCCTTAAATTATATTCAATGGGCTAACTCGAGTGCATGGACTATTCCTTGGAGTGAAGGGCACTTGTTGTATGAAAGATATGTGATAGGTAATGGTGCATATGTTGTGAATGCGTTGGTTGCAAAAAGTTGTCCAGTCATCTACATGAGTTATGCGTATTATAAATGAAAACATGCAGTGTGAATTGTGAACAGAACCTTGGAAGTTAGTAGTGGATGCACAATCCAAGGTAGTGAGTCTAGGTCTAGGAGTTGTTAGTAGTTGTTCGAGGACGAACAAAGCTTTAAGTGTGGGGTAGTGATCTTAGGCATATTTATATGCCTAGAATGCTAATTATGCTTGCAGTTACGCTTAGTTTGAATTCAAAATGTATTTTTTTGTAGTCTTATCGAGTCATTTGCTTATTTATGAGCTAACCAATATGATTAGTTGTGTAGGAATGCTTAATGGGAGAAACGAGCACCAAAAGGGATAAAGTAAGAAATCTGAAGATTCGAGTCAAAAGAGAACAAGGAAGAAGCTAAGGAAAATGCACCAAGGCATTTACGAGTTCTCTCTGCGTCGCGCGGTTGAATGCAGAATGTGGGTTACAAAAATCAACTTCTAGGCAAAACACATTGTGATGCTCGCGCGTCGCGCAAAAGGCAAAAGTATTGTGGACTTGAAATTTGGAAGTCATCGCGCATCGCATGCCTGAGTACCAGATTTGGCCGTTTTGTCTTTTAGTATAAACAGGGTTTTATTTTATTTTATTAAGGAGCTTTTTCTGGGTTTTAAAGGACGACGATTTGGAAGAACGTTTTTCTTCAGCTTTAGGGTTATTTCTTAAACTTTTTTCCTTCCAATCGTTTGATTATTC